CCTCTGCTAGCATAGCTGTGCTAGGTAGTCACTGCCAGCTCACCTTATGTAGCATAGCCGTGCATAAGGAGTAGTCACGGCCAGCACAGCTCTGCTAGCATAGCCTCGCTGCTAGGATAGTCACTGCCAGCACAGCCTCTGCTAGCATAGCCGCTGCTAGGATAGCACGGCCAGCACACCTCTGCTAGCATAGCCGCTGCTAGATAGTCACGGCACAGCACAGCTCTGCTAGCATGAGCGCTGCTAGGATAGTCACTGCCAGCACACGCCTTGCCTAGCATGCCACTGCTAGGATTTAGTCACGCCAGCTCAGCCTCTGCTAGCATAGCCGCTGCATAGATAGTCACTGCCAGCCCCAGCCTCTGGACTAGCATTAGCGCTGCAAGGATAGTCACTGCCAGCATAGCCTCTGCCAGCATAGCCGCTGCTGAGGATAGCCACTGCGATTGTAGCCACTGCCAGCATAGCCACTGCGAGTGTAGCCACTGTGAGTGTAGCCACTGCCAGCATAGCCACTGCGAGTGTAGCCACTGCCAGCACAGCCACTGCCAGCATAGCCACTGCCAGCATAGCCACTGCCAGCATAGCCACTGCGAGTGTAGCCACTGTCAGCATAGCCACTGCCAGCATAGCCACCGCGAGTGTAGCCACTGCCAGCATAGCCACTGCCAGCATAGCCACCGCGAGTGTAGCCACTGCTAGCGTAGCCACTGCCAGCACAGCCACTGCGAGTGTAGCCACTATCTCAGTGTAGCCACTGCTAGTGTAGCCACTGCCATCACAGACACTGCTAACACAGCCTCTACCAGCATGACCATTGCTAGCAATGATTTACTGCGTCATCACTGTCGTTGGTTGTCTAATCCGACAATGGAAGTAGAGATTGTCATTGGCACTAGTGATTCGCAGCATCGTCTTTGCTAGTTCTGATTGCGACCGATTGCTTGCTTTCTCTTATAAGAACAAGACATGTTTATAGTTATGGCAGCATTAGCAAATAGGAGCATCTTACGGGAAAGATATGAAACGTTTTGGAATAACAGCTGAGATACAGTAAACACCCGCATAAAAGAACCCGTGATTTTCTGTTTCAGGTTGAAGTGGTTCTTATATATATGCTACATAGTGAGAAATCAGCCTGAAGAGGTTCTTAAAGAGGTTCTTAATTTTTGGGGGGATATTGTGTACATTATCTAGGTAAAATTGGCTTTAATTAGTGAATAATTGACACTAATTAATTAACCAACTGCATAATATTAGAAATTATAATTCACATCATCCTCCCCATCTTGGTTAGGTTTCTAATTCGCAGTTAACGCGACAACATTTCACTTTTAAAGTGTCTAATCCACATTTTTTAATCTTCAATTATCCTCTTTTAAAGTTACTAATTAAACATATTTTTAAGTAATTAGTTCACAAAATCTTCAGGCACTTGTACCATTTGGCATTAGTGATAACATGTATTTACAGTAAATTTACGCTACCATATACAGTTGACCATATTTGCAACAGCCGTTCACACTTTAGTGCCAAAGAAGTAGGCCATAGAAATCATATCAATATATATATTTATATATATCAATGAAGTAGGCACTCTGAAGCTAGTTACAGTCATCGACATTCTGAGTGTTAATGTCAAACTTCAGTTTGTGCTGCAATAATTCTGTCATAGATACTGATAGTCTTAAAATTTATAATTAGGCCTATAGTTAGCTATATTGCACGTTACACATTGATCCGATTGATAAACTTAATGAAAGCTTTCAGTTTACTTTTATGTGTACAGCTTTCACTTGTAGTTTATTATGCTCGTACAAACATGATATAATCTTATAGCGTGTAATAAATGTGTTTCATGCACGTCCCGTGATTGGAATGTTAACAGCTGTACAGACATCTAATGATTGAAAAGCTTCTAAGCTATTTCCACGTGGCAACATCTTATTTATGATCTATCCCCTGAGCAATGTTTAATATTCTGTTTTGCATAGCTGTATTTTTTCACTATCAAATAAAATAACACATTTTTCTCGGTTACACAGAATCGGCGAGATTCCTGTGAATATCTCCAGAGAATAGTTATCCATGATGCCTGTCTTTTCTTCTTGACGTGTTCACTCTTGGTTAAGAATGTATAGGTTTTTTTCTCTCGTTGTTGCAGTATTCAGCATTCCCTTGTGACTGTATTAATGAAGGGCGCATTATTGTCGTGTTTTCTGTCATAGACATATGTCTGAGAAAAGTCACGCTTGTCCTGCAGCTCTAACTAGAATGGTTATCGATTGATGTCGTTATCTGATTTTCTCTCTCTCTCTCTCTCTCTCTCGCTCTCTCTTTCTCGCGCGAGCGCCACTCTACTGTTGCTAAGGAATCCTCTAGCATCAACGTCGTGTCGCAGTGATTCAGGGTGAGGGTGTGAGTGCAGGTTAGGGGCAGTGTAGTTTGCAGACGGAGGCTCGGCATTCTTCTCTCCCTCTTACACATCTCTTACACGGCAGCCCTAGCCAACGGATGGCGAGAAGTATTTGTAGTGTGAAACAAAAATTGTGCTGTGCGCCACAGAGCGCCCTCCCAACCCTATACGTTTATACTTCTCTTATATGTATGTTTGTTTATATGTCTATATTAGGAATATACTCAATATAGTCAAATATGTGTGAAAAGTAATCGAGAGGTAAGAACTGGCAGATAGTGAAACCCCAGCTCTGTACCTGTCATTCTGCCTGTCCGTCCGTTCGTCCGTTCGTCCGTCCGTCCGTTCGTCCGTCTGTCTGTCTGTCTGTCTGTCTGTCTGTCTGGATGTATCACTGGTTCTCACTCGCTTTCTCATTCGCTATCTCACTCTCATTTTCCTGCTTCATCTTGCTGGCAATTGCATGCTGTGTTAATGCCTATAGTACTAAACACCCAGCTGATGATAGGGGATGGAATCAGAGAGGATCAGAGATCAGTTAATCGGTTTAATCGGTTTAATCCTGTGATGCAATTTGGAGAGATTCATCAAGACCCTGCGTCTTTTTTTCAGAAGGTTTTATGTGGGCGTATAGCTTCTTAGTAAACGTACAGAAATCTTTCAGCATAAACGCTCATTTATTAAACGAGTGCCATATATATTACAAGAAAAATATAGAAAAGCCCAACCCAACATGGGAAATTCTAACCTTATTGTCTCAAATGCAAACAAACTGTAGGCCCTTACTTGGTGTTTCTACGTAGTGTAATGTCGTACGGTACTATTAGGGTGCATTTACTCGTATTTTTAACGATTTTCTAAATTATTAATTAATTTATTAAATTTCGGAAATGTTTTAATTACAATATATCATTTTCATTTACCCACCAGAGAAAATCACAAAATGCTGCCGTCACCATCAACCTTCTCATCTATCGTCAAACGGGAATGTTCAAGATGTACACGCATACATTCAAGAGCTAAGCCTATAATAATAATTTATTAGCTCTTGATACAAATGTTGTGTAGAGCAGCAGCTGCTACCGCCCGCGACCAATATTTTCAGTGTGTAATTGATTTATCTATTAAGTAAAGCGAAATTTGCGATTCACTTGTGTCACAGACTGCATGTGCCTACATGGCGAGCAGCAAGGTGTAGCAAATTCTGAAAACAATTTAATTTGGTTCGCTTCATCCATTGGCAAACGCGACTAGCGACGCGCCAGAGTCAGAACCGAGCAGGATCGAGAGAGCTGTATTAGTAGTTATAGGGATCAGTACACCCATGAATGTAAACGCGCACATTATACTATAATATATTAGTTTACCCTTGGCAACTGGTCACGAGTTAGCGCCGATGGATTGATGGGTTGGTGGAATAATAAGAAAGGGAAATGAGAGTTTTTGTTGAAAGAGCAAGGGAAATTAGTGCTGGATCGGGTCGGCATGCTCATGGCGGCATATGCGCCCCGTGTTAATGTCAAGTCGACTGTGTTTCTGCAGTAAGAAACCGTAACTGGTTGGTCCTTACTCTAACCTGACCCATTAGTGGCGTTTTAGGAATAGCGGGATTCAGTGTGGGACTCCACTAATATAGAAATGAGATAATCCCTTTAAGAATATGTGAGATGACAGTTGCACAGTAAGGCTAATTCCATGACATCGATGATCTAAGTGTCTTCATTTACGTGGCGTACGTCCTATTCCCATTATGAATTATTGCAGGCGACTGAGAAGTGAGTCTAAAGTGCTATATATAGTCTTGAGTTAATTAGGTTCCCAGGATCGTCACGAAGCTACGAAACCCTTATTTAAATATTCAACATTCATGTTTTATTCAACATGCAGCTACCTGTTTGCAAACGTGTTCCAAATTTCAGTTAGTAGCTAGGGTTAATCGCCAGTCTTGTTACTTATTGTATCCCCCGCGACGAAGTCGGCGGGGATACTATGGTTTCATGTCTCCCCAGCCGCCGCCGCCGCCGCCGCTCGGTCCGCCACAGAGAATTTCCCTTCCGCTCTATAACTCGACCCCTAATTGACCTAGCGCTACCAAACTTGGTATACTTACACATCTTGGGGAGAAGGTGAGCAGCGTACCAAAACCAGGTCACTGCGACCTTTATTTGACCTTTACCTTGACCTTGATCATATTTACCTTACGCTCTCTAACTCGGCCCCTAATTGACCTAGCGCTACCAAACTTGGTATACTTACACATCTTGGGGAGAAGGTGCGCAGCGTACCAAAACCAGGTCACTGCGACCTTTATTTGACATTTACCTTGACCTTGATCATATTTCCCTTCCACTCTATAACTCGGCCCCTAATTGACCTAGCGCGACCAAACTTCGTATACTTACACATCTTGGGGAGAACACAGGGGATACATGTAGTTGGCGACAACTGCCCTTTCTAGTTAACAATACGGCACAGCTACACGGATTTTTGAGCACGTAAACATCTCAGAGGAACGTTTGCTGTCGATATTAAAAGGCTCTTTGCCGAACGCAGTGTAAAGTTGTGTGTATCATTGCATTTTCAGGCACACGCAGGCAAGTATCTGCCACGAAATTATGTGCACCGTCTGCACGATGTGATGGCAAACGTGATCAGCAAGAGACCACGCCAAAACGCGCAGGTTTGTCAGGGCGGTCGCTAGTGGGAAAGTGGGCAGGGTCAAACCAGTGTAGATACTATAGCATGGCAATAGCAAATAGCCCACGGGAAACTGTCCAAAGCCAACTGCGCAGTAAACAAATTGCGGTTTTGCCTCCACCCCCTCCCCCAAGCAAAAACCCTATCACCACTTGCCGTCATCTTGGGGGGTCAAACGTATTTAGTAGTGATAGGTATGAGTATTACCATGGGCAATGAAGTTCATTTTCAGTATAGCGTATATGGTCGGGTGGTTAAATGTTGTAATGTGCATCACACGCCATAGAACATTAACCTATTGATTCTATTCTGGTATTTCACGAAGCATAACGACTTAATTTGACATTGAATGTCATAGTAATATATTAGCTAAATATGTTAAACTTTAAACACATATAGAGTAACATTTTAAACGTACTACTGATACTGTATGTTTTCAACTGACTATAGAAATCATTTATTTATCTTTAATCCATGATTTCGAAAATTCACAGCCGAATCCTTATATGCTTGGCGAAGCATGACACCATCACAAAATAAATGCGTTTCTCAGATTCTAGACATCAAACTGTGGTATGACAACAGCGTGAATATTGCATTTCAGGTGCCATATCAGGCTTTTCTAATTAGTCTCTCACACATGCTGAAAGGAACCCTGACCCAACGTGGACATATCATCCGCAGGCTGGCATCAGACAACAGGGAGACCACTGCATCCGAGGAACTCATTAATGTAAGCCTATCACTATAACACCCTCTTCGGGGTTGACTCAGTCTGCCAGTCGATCTTGAAGGATGACGACCAACGTTACGCAATGTGCTAAAAGTTCACCTAACCTTAAATCTTTGGTGCTAAATCAATAAAAGGAGGCGAAATATTTAATTACAAGCGAGCAGTATGTAAATAAACTTTTGTTAACAGCTAGTATACTCCTATAATGCCGACATCCGTTCGAGAAGAATATTATCATGGATTCACCGTAGAAAAGACCAGAAGCTAGATTTTGCATGCGAGGGGATTTTGAGAGTCACTATCTTCAAAGATAAAGTCGTGTTTAGCACAGCTGCGCGCCTAATTTCACACCCTGAGTCTTGTGAGACTATATCAACGATAGCTGATTACGAAGATATTATCTCGACTGCTATGTTCAAACATAGACACCGGCCCTGTCACACCTTGACGATTTAGCCAGCGTATGCCGACGTATCAAAATTTCTCTAAAACGCTGGCATATACGCTGAACTATCGATGTTTTTTTCAATTTTGGGCGTATACATAGCGTATTCATAACGAGTTGGACGTATACTTAACGTATTAGTAACGTATATAGAACGTTTCGATAACTTATAGATAACTTATACCAACGAATGCTTAGCGTGTTGCCGGCGTTCACAACTTATGCCCAACGATAGTCTAACTTATGCATCGCCGACGATCACGTGTCGTAGCCTATAAAAAGGCTGCCGCTTGACGATTCAAATCATAACCGCACTAGACATCGCAGTATCAACATCACCGTCGCAGTATCGATCAACATGCCAATATCATTTTTATATACCAATTTCCCTAAACGCTGCCAATACGCCATTATACGGTAGCTGTAAGTTAGAAACACGTTCAGTAAGTTCTGTGGTCGTCCGGAACACGTCAAATACGTCTACATACGTCAATATGCGTTGGAGATAAGCCGGCCCGCGTATGCGGGACGTATGGGAATCGCGCATACGCTGGCATACGTCGGAAAATTTTGAGCATGCTGAAAATTTTTCGACGACCTCGCCGTACTACGACGTATACCAGCGTGCTTCAGCGTACTTCAGCGTGCTTCAGCGTGCTCTTAACTTATACAAAGCTTACCCATAACTTATTCAACGTACGCCAGCGTATTCACTAAATTTTTGATACGTCCGGCATACGCTGGCTAAATCGTCAAGGTGTGACAGGGTCATAATGGATACAGGAGCAGAAGCGTGCTGAGATCACACAAGGGGACTAAAGATTGTGCTCCGACTACTAATCAACCATTAACTACTCGTTAGGAGTTGGATATCGGCAGACATTGTTGATGATATGGCCAACATGAACTACATGACACCTTCATGCTGGGTTTCTACCTTGAACTGTAATAACTGAGCTTAACCTTGGCCTCAGATAGATAGATCGATCCTACAACAATGGTTCGATTTTTATCCAGGGAATTGTGTTGCACGGACCAGGCTGTAAAGTAGTTACGTGAAATCGCGCTTACTCTTAACTCACATGCTTCTATACACACACACACACACTGCTGTACACACAGCTACTGCCGACTACAAGTATACACGTACGCCAAGTACTACGCGTATCATAGACAACATCGCATATTTTGCTGGTGGGCGGCAGCAGATCAAGAATGATAGCTCGCATTCATTGTCAGATGAACGTAATTAGCTATAGATGCCGACAAGAGCTGATAATACATACTAGGTATACCTGTGAGGTAACACCTGCCGTGGATTGAAGTAACGAGACCGCTTGACGTGCACCTGTGGATATCACCTGCATAGCGAAGGAGTCGTGTGACGAAATCTGTGTCAGCGGAAAGTAATTTGGCGACTATGGTCGCCCTATATGTATTATCAGAGGCGAATGCTGACAGAATATTAGCTGTCATTATTTTCCCCTATATCTATATACCCTGCACCAGTTGTCGCGCCTGCATTTTCGACGAGATATACTTCGTTTGTATGGAATATCAGATAATTATCAAATTATCCCCCTATCAGGGCGTCAAGTTCCTATTTTTTCCTATTTTCTGGGCAATTGAATTCCTATTTTCTCCTATTTTTGAGGGCTTTTCATTTTTCTGAATCCAGAATTGTATGTATCCTCCTCAGAATGCAGAAATTTACATTTCAGGTGACCCAATTTTCAAAAATTTCCTTTGGGGAGGACCCCCAGACCCCCACCCCTTACTTTAAATTAACGTAATATACTCTTTACTATCACAGATTTTATTTCAGTATTTCTCAGTTGGATGTGGTATGTGTATCCAGAGGGGGGGTCCAGGGGGTCCGGACCCCCCCTTTTTTACCCCCAAAAAGGGAAAACACATAAAAGATAATTTTCTGCTTAAAAATTTGGAATTCCATCTTGCATTCTAGACATCAAAATTATACTGCTCAGATGCTCTCAGAATGCACCAATTTTTTAAAATTTTCTTGGGGGCAAGCGCGCCCCCCTAAGTGGCAACGTGCCTTAGACACGTCGCATAAGCTGCCTTCGGCACCTTTTTATAAAAGTGCCCTTTATTTCTTACTGGACCCCCCTTTTTCAAAAAGCCGGATCCGCCCATGTATACATGTACGTCATACTATTTTGGAGTAGTCTACATGTATGGGTGCTTGTGCATGTATAAACTGCTTATCAATTTTAACATGCATTTCTCATTAAAACCTCAAAATATTGTTCGTATGTGATGTAACTCCAAATATGTATATTAATAAAACCATTTGTGGTGGATCGGGATGGCTGTAGGAGTGTTGGGAGGCCATCTAACGCAACAAATATTCCTATTTAACATATATTTTCTCACAAAAATTCCTATTTTCCTCCTATTTTTTCACATCTGAAATTCCTATTTTCCTATTTTTTGAGCGTCACTTGTCACGTGACGCCCTGCCCTATCTAACGCTACCCCTATCACACGCTCCCCCTATCTCACGTTCTCCTTCTCACGCACCACATTTCTTACGTTATCTTCTCTTTCCCCTCTCTTCCTCCCTCCCTCTCGCAATTTTTTTTGTTCGTTTCCTCTCTGTGTCTCGATCCTCCTCATGCACCTTCTCCCGCTCCCTCATTGCCTCACCTTTCTCCTCCGTTCGCACTCTTAATTTCTCTCGCTCCCTACTTCTCTATGTATATTCCCATCTTTATCTCCCCTATCCCTCTTTGCCTTCCTGTGTCTCTATGTCCTGTCAGTAATTATTAGGCAGATCGTTATATGCTGGCAAATATCATGCGGATATAGCAATGTATGCTCTTTGCTTTTTCCGGTGGCCCGTCTATCGTACACGCGCTCTGTACGTGTTGGCATTGGTCGTACTGTGGCTTCGTAAAGCGCGGATCGGCGATGCCAACTGTGTCTTGTGTGGCACAGCCATTTGCCGGCTGCAATTTGCAGAGCTAAACGACAGGGTCACCAATTGGAACGAACAGACGTGAAGCTTAATGAAATGTGCTTTTTAGTATATATGCGAAATGCTTTCAATGTTTTTTTACGAGAAGCAATTGAACAGCGGCTGTCACGTCTGCTCTGATTGTCGGTGCATTATTTGCCCAGATCTCGCTTGAATTTCCCGTATAATTGCTCATATTTAATTGCGTGCGGGCTGGACTTGACAGCAGACTATATAGTAGTAGTACTGGCTGTATCATCTCGAATGCCGTTCTCTATGCGGAAGAGATGCGAATTGCTATTGTGCATTGCTATTGAATTTATAATGCGATTGTTCAATTAGCCATGCTATTTGACGACGTGCAAAATACACGCATACACGCACGCACGCGCGCACGCGCGCACACGCGCACACGCAGTGATAGCTCTGTTCGCCCGTGTTAGCAGACCATTTTCGGATGACTTCCCCGAAATGATTATCAGTAATTTGTGCTATTAAATGTTAAATAGGAAAACTAGAAAATGCATGAGCACGTTCTTTCTCGACTACATTTTGCAATATTCATAAGTGGCCATTAAAGAGCTAGGATGTCTAATTGATATATATATATATATATATATATATATATATATATATACAGGGCATGGTATTAAGATTTTTTGCACCGGCCCAGAGGGGCCGCAGCAGTTTTTTACCAGCCCTCACCATAATTTACCAGCCCTCACAAATTTTTGTTTTCAAAAATAAACATATAAGACTGTTTCACTGACTTGCTTGTCCGAAAAAATTTGTAGTTCTAGTGTGCGGCATCGCATAGTAGCTGTTGAACAGACTAGTACTATGCTATAATGCAGATCGTGAATGATGTCCGAAGTGTTTTGTCATGTTTCACGCTTTCATTCTCGATTTCAAATATGTAAAATGTTGATAAATTATGGCGGGATATCCTTTAGGTAAAACAGTAATGTAGGCTATTTGCTCATTAATGCTATAAATAAAAATATAGGTACTCGCTAACACGGCTGAAACCACCGGCCCGGAAGGCCGGCGTTTTGCTAATGTTACTTGACCCTCCAAATAATTGCGCGTTTGTGTGTGTCTGCGTGTGTGTGTGTGTGTGTGTGTGTGTGCGTGCGTGCGTGCGTGCGTGCGTGCGTGCGTGCGTGCGTGCGTGCGTGCGTGCGTGTGTGTGTATGTGTGTAGCGCGTGTATTGTTCGCAGCACAAATCTCTCGTAACTGCATCAAGAGCTAATAAATACCTTATTATTCCTTATATATTATTCCTTATACCTTATTCCTTATTCGTTATTGTTCCTTATACCTTAAAGTATTTATTAGCTCTTGATTGCATGTATAATAGACCGCACGCACGCACTAGATTCGCGTCCGATGAAGATGGATTCCCGCGCGCGCTGTGTCAGATCGGCTGCTTCGCCATCATCTGATGATGCTAATGAAGCAGCGAACTCAATGCTGATTGCATCAACCTCATGAAGCTGCTGCTGCTGCTGCTTCACTCGCGCAGACGACTTTCGCGTGAGATTGACAATTTTGCGGGGTCGTATCGGCTAGGC